TTCGTTTCTCGTTATATTAGTTATATTGGCTCCTTTCTGACAGAAAACTTTATCCATAACTATCAAAAATACTACCAAAGTTTCTCCTACATGTTTGTATTAGACTTTCTCTTCTTCCATGTGCTCAAGTAAAGGTTCAGTCTCAGACTCACAAGGGTCACGAGGGGGTACATCAAGCTGTCCCTGTCTCAGAGGGGGGCACTGGGCTGTTCCAGAGGCTGTTCCAGAGGCTGCACCAGAGGGGGGCACTGGTGATGTTCCAGAGGCTGTTCCAGAGGCTGTACCAGAAGGGGGCACTGGTGATGTTCCAGAGGCTGTTCCAGAGGCTGTTCCAGAGGGGGGCACTGGTGATGTACCAGAGGCTGTTCCAGAAGGGGGCACTGGTGATGTACCAGAGGCTGTTCCAGAGGCTGTTCCAGAGGCTGTACCAGAGGGGGCACTGGTGATGTACCAGAGGCTGTTCCAGAGGCTGTTCCAGAGGCTGTACCAGAGGGGCACTGGTGATGTCCAGAGGCTGTACCAGAGGGGGCACTGGTGATGTACCAGAGGCTGTTCCAGAGGCTGTTCCAGAGGCTGTACCAGAGGGGGCACTGGTGATGTACCAGAGGCTGTTCCAGAGGCTGTTCCAGAGGGGCACTGGTGATGTACCAGAGGCTGTTCCAGAAGGGGGCACTGGTGATGTACCAGAGGCTGTTCCAGAGGCTGTTCCAGAGGCTGTACCAGAGGGGGGCACTGGTGATGTACCAGAGGCTGTTCCAGAGGCTGTTCCAGAGGGGGCACTGGTGATGTACCAGAGGCTGTTCCAGAGGCTGTTCCAGAGGCTGTTCCAGAGGCTGTTCCAGAGGCTGTTCCAGAGGCTGTACCAGAGGCTGTTCCAGAGGCTGTACCAGAGGGGGGCACTGGTGATGTACCAGAGGTTGTTCCAGAGGCTGTTCCAGAGGCTGTACCAGAGGGGGGCACTGGTGATGTACCAGAGGTTGTTCCAGAGGTGGGCACTGGGGGAGTTGGAGGTCTATTGATGATTTCGTCTCCAACAGTGAAGCATTTTGCCCAATCTCGTGTTTCTATGAGTTCGTTCAGTTTGATCTTCATCTCCTTTTTAGCCTTCTCCCTCAGTTAATCAGAAACAATCTTCTCCTCCTCCAAAACTATCTCCTGCCAGTCCCCTCTTCGTGCCCACTCAAAGGTGTTATGGATACATGATGCAAGAAATGCCAAAGAGAATAAACAAAGGAGAACAAACAGACCGATACAGACAATAAGAGCAGTTCTTCACATATAAACTTAAGCTACAGAGAGACTCACCCTGGAGGTATCTTTGATCTCTCAGAGTGGCTCGCTCTTCATCCGTGCGCTGGCTTTCGTTCTTACAGGAGATCTCATGGACTGTTTTGTTAAAGCAGCAGGCACTCCAGTCTCCGTCTATCAGAACTGAGACGGGCCAAATACCACTTACAAAAATCGCACTGCCCAAACGTGAAAATATGAAACAGCAGCAGCAACTGGAGCAGCTACAGGAGCGGCCTCGACAGCCCCTCTGACAGACTCTGTCCATCCACAGCTGAGCCATCAGAATTATTAAAAATGGCAGAAGCATGTACACAGGACAGTCTCGGTGTAGATTCTTGCAGGTGCAGGGCAGGTCTTTCTCAAAGAGGAAGTGGTAGCTAAAAGCCAAGATGACCACTACATACAGATTTATCCGCTCTTGAAAATATTTGATTAGTTGTCCCACCACATCGTGATAGTTCTCCATCCTCAGCCTTCTCTCAGAATGAAGTGTGATGATGTTTTGCCGCTGTATAAAGCTTGTATAGACATGAACACAAAGTAGACAAATAGAGCAGCACACCTTTGATAAACATGAACAGTCTAAGCAGCATAAAGAGCAGATCAGCTGTAATTACGTGACAGTTGTCCTGAATTTACCAACACCGAGCTACAAACACCACGATCGTTTACATTTCATTTACACAGAAAATTAAGCGTCCAGTTTCTGTGTAAAGTCTCTGTGGACATGGCGCGTCGAGGACGTTTTGGCGTCGACGCTCTAGATGTGCGTCCAAGGCGTCGACCCCAGAAAATGGAAAATACTGAACTTTCCGCGTCACATGCGCCGCGTCAGCAAATCAGGGATGAGTATCCAGAGACACAGAACCACAAACATTAATGAAGAATAAATATATACACCACAATCACCAAGAGGATCACGAGGACTGAACCAGAACTGAACCAGGACTACACCAGGACTGAACCAGGACTACACCAGAACTGAACCAGGACTACACCAGGACTGAACCAGGACTACACCAGGACTACACCAGAACTGAACCAGGACTACACCAGAACTGAACCAGGACTACACCAGGACTGAACCAGGACTGAACCAGGACTACACCAGAACTGAACCAGGACTACACCAGGACTGAACCAGGACTACACCAGGACTGAACCAGGACTACACCAGGACTACACCAGGACTGAACCAGGACTACACCAGGACTGAACCAGGACTACACCAGGACTGAACCAGGACTACACCAGGACTGAACCAGGACTACACCAGGACTGAACCAGGACAACACCAGAACTGAACCAGGACTACACCAGGACTGAACCAGGACTACACCAGGACTGAACCAGGACTACACCAGAACTGAACCAGGACTACACCAGGACTGAACCAGGACTACATCAGGACTGAACCAGGACTGAACCAGGACTACACCAGGACTACACCAGGACTACACCAGGACTGAACCAGGACTACACCAGGACTGAACCAGGACTGAACCAGGACTACACCAGAACTGAACCAGGACTGAACCAGGACTACACCAGAACTGAACCAGGACTACACCAGAACTGAACCAGGACTACACCAGGACTGAACCAGGACTACACCAGAACTGAACCAGGACTACACCAGGACTGAACCAGGACTACACCAGAACTGAACCAGGACTACACCAGGACTAGATCGGGGCTAGACCGGGACTAAACCAAGACTAGACCGGGACTAAACCAAGACTAGACCGGGACTAAACCAAGACTAGACCAGGACTAGACCGGGACTAGACCAAGACTAGACCAGGGTCATTAGTGGAGTATAAATCTAAACACGTCGTAGTCGTCGAGTCGATCTCCTCCACTGATGGTTTTACGTCATAAAAACACTAAAGTCTCTCAGTCTGGTCTGGACATCGTTTCAGGAAAAGAGCAGGTTCTTGTCTCCAGGGAAACGAACGAGCGTCAAGTACTTTTCTCCCGTTGGTTCACGGCGTCAAAGATGCGCGTCGGGGGCGTCTAAACTCAAATGCAAAGGCGTCCAAACAGAGACGTCGAGGGCGTTTTTTGACGCTCTGGTGTGAACGCACATTGACAGAGGCCCATGTGGAGGCACTGGGGCTGGGACAGACTGAGGCTCACTGCAGCCTTAAGTCTGTTAGACCCAGTAGACCACAGCTCGATAAAACACCCAACAGCATTCAGAGGTGCAGTCGGTGCGATGCAGCGGGGCTCACGGCACTTTGAGGGCTCATCGTGGGCTGGATTGGTCCATCTCCCCAATACAGACTTGCACCAGGGCCGTGGACAACTACACAACACCACTGAAAACACCTCAAAGGTTATAGGATCACATATTATTTTATGTTTATAGGAAATTATTTAAGAAAATATATAACTTAAAATGATGGAGGAATTAGATTTTTTTGTTGCATTATCAGTGTAATAATATTCTAAAACAGTAGAATATTTGTTCTTACGGGTGCTCCTGACTGTTCGTAGGATTTGTTCTTCCAGAAAAACATTTTCAGTTAAGAAAAAGTTTAATGAATGACAAAACTGTTCATAAGAAGGACGTAAGTACAAATGTGTTTGTAAGAAAGTTTCATGAATGAGGCCAAATGTCCCATTTCAAAAAAAGGACCTCATTCATGAAACGTTTCAGAAAGTGTTTGATAATGTGACAGAGCGACCATAGTTTCTTCTTCATCACCCGACCGGCGCGTCTTTCTCTGGCCCGAGGACACGCACCACACACTTCTTACCTGCAGCTGTATCCACGCCGCTCTCTGGTTCAGGGGCCAAACCGAGGCACTTCCCGCTCGTGTTCTAAATAATGCACAGTGACGCGCTAAAGGAGGTCACATGATCTCAGACTCCACCGCTGTGCTCCATTTGTGTCTTTGTTTATTAAGTTATATTAAGTTCATTAAGTTGAATTGAGGATAATCATATGAGGAGTTATTTAAGTAATTGTTTTTATGTTTATTTCCAAGTTGATTTATGATCATGAGAATAATTTTTACGTACTTTAAACGCTGCTGCTGTAAATATTGTTGTAAATACTTTATTTTTTTACTCTGCTTCATCATTTTAAGTGTAAATATTGCACTCTGCACATTGGGCTGTGGTGTGAATAAAAAACACACTTTCACTTCTCTTTTTTTTTGGGCTGAGCCATCATTTCTTTACATTGATTTTGGACAAACCCGTGACAGTTATGATCCATTTGAGTCATTTATATTTCCCAAAGTTCAGTTTGACTTATTGCAATCCAACAGTTTGGTTCTGATGTTATTAAAAAGTTATGATATTTTCCTACTGTGATGATGCGGTGAATCAACCACAAAAGTTCAACAAAAGTCTGAACTGATCCTTCTGGAGTCTGGACTGAAACAGGCCCAAGTCTGTGATGATACACAGGGGCCACTTTGTTCCAGAGTGTGGGGCTCGAGACAGAGAAAGACCCGTCGCCCCGGTGTGTGAACCTGGAGCCCCGGTGTGTGAACCTGGTTCTGGGGTCTTTGGTTCTGGGATTTTTCAGTAGAAGCTGTTTGACTTTAAATCCGTGTTTGAATCAATAATAAAATCCAGATCCAGCGTAGCAGCAGTGAGACGCAGCGGCCGCACTAGCAGCTCTCTGCTGTGAATCACACAGGATGTAAAGAGCGACACAACCAAACTTCTGCTTTTTGAATGTGTCAAGACAAAATCACATGTTTTACTGGCATTTTCAGTCCTAGTTCAGTCCTGGTCTAGTCCTGGTCTAGTCCTGGTCATGGCCCTCACAGCTCTGGTCCTGCTCTGGTTCATCTATAGTTTGGGTAAGTGAATTTTGTGTCTCTTGTGTGTGACTCTAAACCTGTTTTAGATTTTATTTTAAAAATATTTTTGACCCTCTGGACACGATTGAACCAGGACTGAACCAGGACTGAACCACGACTGAACCAGGACTAAACCTGGACTAAACCAGGACTGAACCAGGACTAAACCTGGACTAAACCAGGACTGAACCAGGACTGAACCAGGACTAAACCAGGACTGAACCAGGACTGAACCAGGACTGAACCAGGACTAAACCTGGACTAAACCAGGACTGAACCAGGACTGAACCTGGACTGAACCAGGACTAAACCAGGACTGAACCAGGACTGAACCAGATCTGAAGTGTATTTGGATGCACCTGTTGATCGTCCTTTTTACATGTAAATAAAAAACATTTTTATGTTCTCAATTAGTTTTTAACAATCCACAGCAAAAGAATATCAAGTTGTTTTTTCCATAAAATAATTCCATGTGGGGAAATAATCCAGAAAAACCTTGTTCGTATGAGTGGACGAATGTGTGAATGAAAATATATGTTTCTGCTTGTCTCACTGTCGTTTCTCTGGGCACTGTTGGGTTCGTTTGTTTTCCTCACACTCGTCTTCAAAATGACACCATCCCGGGAGTTGTCCGTGCCTTGGTTTATCTGGAGCACGCCGCTGAAAAACAAGTCCACCAGTCTACTTCCTGCTTTTGTGTGTGAACGGTCTAAGTCAGGGGTGGGCAAACTACGGCCCGGGGGCCTTATGCGGCCCTTTAAAACTTTAAATCCGACCTGCCAAACTTGAATAAATTATAGTAATAAACCTTGTTAATGTTTTATTTTTCCTGTATTTCCGGCGGTTCCCAGTAGATGGTGCACTACATATACATTGAGGTGCGGCGTGTTATGTTGCCATAATGTTTTATGGGAAAGTGTTTTACAGGAATGGTTTTGTTGATTCTAGACTCGTACTTCAGAGTTTTGCAATCGTGCATTTTTCTGAGTGGAAATTCTAGTGTAGGAGGTCGGCTAAAGAAAATATGGTGACGGCCACAACTAGATGGCGCCCTGGTCCGGCCCTTCCTTCACATTTTGGAACTGTTTGTGGCCCCCGAGCCAAAAAGTTGGCAAACCAAAAAGTTCAACATAAATTTGTTCAGATGATGTGAGATGAACGACGTACGTCACTGTTGCATTCAATTAGACGTCAGAATTTGTTTTCACCTGAAGAGTCGAGTGACGAGGTCTGCTGCACTTTGTAAACTGCGTGTTGCTCTGTCACTGAGTGTGTTTACAGCACATCGGCGTTCGGGGGATGATGGGTTTTGGAGTGTCCCGGTTTCATCATGGTGCATGTAAACATAAAGTTGAGATTGCATTAGTCCAAAAGACAAACACTTTTCAGTCTTTTCATCACAACAGAAGCAAAAATAAAGTGACCAACATAAATAAAGTGAAATGATGTTAAATAAAGAGCTGCACTAAACCTGCACACGTCTGATCTCTAAAACCATGAACCATCTCCAACACGAAACACAAAGAACACACTCACCATCATCATCATCACCATCATCACCACCATCACCACCATCATCACCATCATCACCATCACCATCATCACCACCACCACCATCATCATCATCACCACCACCACATCACCACCATCACCACATCACCATCACCATCATCATCACCATCACCATCATCATCATCATCACCATCATCATCATCATCACCACATCATCACCATCATCATCACCATCATCATCATCACCATCATCACCACCATCATCATCACCACCATCATCATCACCATCACCATCATCACCACCATCACCACATCATCATCATCATCATCACCATCATCACCACCATCACCACCATCATCATCACCACCATCATCATCACCATCATCACCATCACCACCATCACCATCATCATCACCACCATCACCATCATCATCACCATCATCATCATCACCACCATCACCACCATCACCATCATCATCACCATCATCATCATCATCACCACCATCACCATCACCATCACCATCATCACCATCACCATCATCTAAATAAAAACAAAACAAACCATGACTGAACCAGGACTAAATCAGGACTAAATTGTGGTCAGACCTTGGGTCCATGTGGGCTGGTCCTTGTTCAGACTCTGGACTCTGACACAGACCAGGCTGAAGGAGCTGATGGAGCTGTGGTAGAACACACTGTAGCTCACGACATGAGCCTGTGCACCGTCACCGTCCAAAATATCATCTACACAAAACACAATGGACTCAAAATAAACCAAATGGCACCACTATAAAAACCAAACACAATATTTCCAGATAATAAAACTGATAAAAAATTTAAAAAAGCAATTAAAACATACAATATCTAAAGGAAATATCTCTAACATAACTGTATCACTTTATTTGATTTGGTTTGGTGTATTTTAGTTTCCTCTTCTATAGTTGGTTGTTGTTATGGCGCCCCGTGTATCCTATGTGTGGTTTGTGTTGTTTGTGTGGTTTGTGTGCTTATTGTGTTTTTCATGTCCATGATTGTCCCCGATTGTGTATATGGGAAAGTAAAATTAATTTAAAAAAACAAAAAAAGCCATTATGTGACATGTCTCTTGTGTGTGCAGGGGTCCTGGCAGAAGACAACAGCTCAGGTAAAGACACTCACACATCAGGCTAACCACTCTGCCACAGTAACACAGGGAAAGGTAAAGGGGCGGGGCTTCACTCTGTCTCTTGTCTGTTCAGAGCCGCTCAGGTTGGTGGGAGGAGCCAGTCGCTGTGCTGGGACTGTGGAGGTGAAACACAGAGGAGAGTGGGGACGAGTGAATCTCTTTGGATTCTGGGACCAGAAGGACACAGCTGTTGTGTGCAGAGACCTGGACTGTGGCTCTGCTGTTTATGGAAAACAGAGAGATGATTTTCCACAGAGTCGTGTGTGGAGGGTCTCATCTGACTGTGTGAAGGAGTCTTCAGTGAGAGAATGTGTCTGGGGTTCATCTTCTTCCTCTTCCTGGGGTGTGGAGGTGAAGTGTTCAGGTAAAAGTGTTTTTGTAAATGTTCAGGTTGAATGTGTCCAAATAGAAGAAAGGAAACATGTGTGACATGGTTAAATGTGTGAAAAGTCCCTTTTGCAGCAGAGCTCTGCTTTAATAGTTGAATCTTGTAGCTTGTGTGCAGCAGTGACAGTGACAGACTGTCTCATGTTCTCTTTGCTGATTCTCTGGAGATGGAGTAAACCTGTGTGTTTGTGATGGAGGATGCTGGGAGTGTGTGTGTGTTTGATTCTTGTTGTAAATGGATTCTACATAAAAGATTTAGACAAAGTTGTGTGTCTGATTTGAACCCAAACCCCTCTCACTTTGAATCCAACGCTCCTGAGTTTGTGACGCAGGCTACGTTTACACGTAGTCGGGTATTTTGAGAAACTAATATTTCCCTCCCTGTGTTTTCCAAAGTAACATCGTGCACACAGCATCGTTTTCAATAAAGTTTCCGTTTACATCAATGTGTATAAAACAATCCTTGAGGCAAGGTCGGTTTGGCAAACTTTTTATTTTACAGCCAAACATTCATTTAAGTGCACAAAAAACAAACAAAAGGTTGGTGGGAGGAGGCGTGGGCCAGTTGTGCCAAATCAACAAACAAAAAGGTATACCAAAACAGGCCTTAACTGAAAACTAGGCTACAAAAAGGAAAGAAATCAAAAGCCTCGCCTACCTGGTGGCGACAAGGGTGGCAACAACTGATAACTAATGTGTCTAACAACAAAAATCTACATGATGAAGTGTACAGGGACCAACCAAACTTACCTAACCAATCCTCCCAACCAAACAAACCTGGGCCTCTCCACTCTGATTGGCAGCCAGCTGGCCAATCAGCTCCAGTTCTGGTCATACCCACAGCACCTGAACACACAGGACAGAGGAGAGAGCAGCACACAAACCAAACAAATGCTTGCATGTAACATCAGGCTATAAAGTAAATATGCAAAAAAGTGAATTAATGCCTATAAACTCATTAGCACCACAGTTTTCGTTAGGGTCAATGCCATTCAAATTAAGTAAGGCTAAATTTAAGTATCTAGGAGTATGGATTACTAATAATTATAAACACCTGTACAAAGCCAATTTTGTTCCATTACTAGATTGTATAAAATGTGATTTTTGTGGAAAACTTTACCATTGTATTTGGGGGATAGAATAAATGTTATTAAAATGAATATTTTACCCAAATTTTTATATCTCTTTCAGTCTGTTCCTATATTTTTGACAAAAACATTTTTCTCAAATTTAGATAAACTGATATCATTTTATATGGAATGGGAAAAATGCACGCATCTGTAAAAATATTTTACAATATCATAGAGATCATGGAGGACTGTCCTTACCTAATTTTCAATATTATTACTGGGCTGCCAATATTCACACAATGTTGTACTGGCCAAAGTATTTATGTAATGGGGAGTTTAAATGGTTGAACCTCGAGAATATGTCATGTCAGCCTGCCTCTTTACATTCTTTACTTTGTTCAAAACTACCTTTATCTCAATCATTAAATACATTTTCTTTAAATCCAGTAATTAAACACTCATTTAAAATCTGGGCACAATTTAGGAGGAATTTTGGTCTCAAAAATATGTCAATATATGCCCCAATTGTGAAAAACCACATGTTTACTCCCTCAATTATTGATGACTCTTTTACACTTTGGGTGACAAATGGTTTAAGGACACTGAAGGACCGGTTTATTGAAGGTCATTTTGCCTCCTTTGAAAGGCTGAAATCAAAGTGTCATGTTCCAAACTCTCATTTCTTCAGATATCTTCAACTTCGTAGCTTCATGTCTACTTCATTCGGCCACTTTCCCTCGCGACCACCAGACTCACTTCTTGAAAACATTTTGGACTTAAATCCCTACTCTAAAGTATAAACTTTACCAATAATTCCTTTAATCAACTCGTATGATGTGAAACCTCTGACTCGTGTTAAATTGAAGTGGGAGGAAGAACTGGGTATGGAACTCTCTGAAGATGTATGGCAATTGATTTTAGATAATATCCATCTGTCCTCAATCTGTTTAAGACAAAGAGTTATACAATTTAAGGTTGTTCACAGACACATTGGTCCAAGGTTAAACTTGCCAAGATCAAACCAGAACTTAACGCTAACTGTGATCTCTGTGCCGCTGAACTAGGGACATTATCACACATGTTTTGGTTTTGCACAAAGCTGAAAAACTTTTGGCAATAAATTTTTAAGTTTCTTTCAGATGCATGAGGGGTTAATGTTGAACCTGAGGTCACAATTGCAATATTTGGGATATCGCTACAATCTGTGAACTCCCATAAGAAATAGAAAAACATAATTAGCTTTGTCACACTCTTGGCTCGTAGACTAATATTGTTTAAGTGGAAGGACAAACAACCTCCAACCTTTAGATCATGGCTTGCTGATTTTGTACACCATCTAATATTGGAGAAAATCTGATTTTCCATAAGAGGCTGTGCAGATAAGTTTTACAGGACTTGGCAACCTGTTTTGAGTGTGATCAAAGATGTTGATCCCTCACTTATTTCACAGGAGTAACTACTATTTGTTTGGTAAGTAATGTTTTGTATGTACTTATTATAATTTTTTTATTTATCTTTTGTTAAAATGGTGCAACAGGGTGGGTTTGTTCTCGTTTTGTTCTGTGTTTTTGGATGTAAAACACATTATTGTAATATGTTTGAAATTGTATATCTAATGGAATTCAATAAAAAAAAAAATACTTGGGAAAAAAAACAAAAAAACGTGAAACCGGAGTTTTCCAGAATCTCCACTCTAGCCGGAGTTTTTAGAAAGATTCGTTTTCAGAGGCGAATTCTCCGTTTGTGTGTAAACGATGTGTAGAAGGGAAATGTCTCTGTTTTTAAAAATACCCGTGTACGTGTAAACGGGGCCGCAAACTCAACAAACTCCAACACCACAGGAGCAGCAGAAGGCGCCTCGCTTCCTTCTCCTTGATTCCTCTCCTCGATCCTCCATTTGTCAGCTGTCAATCAAATGAGTCAGATCAAGCTCAGAGGAGACATGGGAAGGAAACCACAGAGGAGACATGGGAAGGAAACCACAGAGGAGACAAGGGAAGGAAACCACAGAGGAGACAAGGGAAGGGTTCAGGAGCAAACATCAGATACAATAATCAAACTGTTTTAGTGTCACAGTGAGGAGTTTCTGTTGTCGTAGTGACACAAGGACAGAAACAGCAGCAAAGCAGGTCTGACATGTTACAGAATCCAGAATTTGACATTAAAACTCATTTTAAAAAAAAGTAAAAATACATTTGTCATAAAATAAAGACACTGCTCTGACTTTGATTTAACCTGTTACCATCCACCTAATTGTGGCGTGTGCACAATAGCACTACATACCCAAATGCCATAGCTTATTAAAAGAAAACCTTAGAACCCACATGCTTGTGTGAGGCACCATTTTAAAGCTTAGACCTTCTAGTTTCTGTAGATATGCATATGAAGACTGTGAGTGCTGCCTAACCTACAGTACACTCAATTACAAAAAATATTTTTTTGCTTCGAGAAAAAAATAGAAAAAAATAAAGGCCTTAGCTTGGTCATACTTCATGCTAGGCATTTGTGACTCACTACACTCATTGTTCAAGTTGTTGGCAACAACTGTGTAGAATTTCAGACCTTTAGGACAAAGGGTTTTGATGCTGTGAGCCTTTGTGTAAACAAAATGACAATTCGGCACAAGATTGCCAAATTTGTGCCAAAATAATAATAATAATATAATAATAATTAATTATTATTATAATACTACTTCTTCTGAGCTTTAGGCATGTTTTCTCAAGAAAAAAACCTAAAAGTTGCCAAAATTGTCTTCCAAGTGTCAGATCTGTCCACTATGGCCCCTCCCCCACTGCTTCTCTGTGTCTCTCTGTGGCGCCTGTAAACACAGGGTCCGTTTCAAAGATTATCTGCATGTCCCACCCACCGTTTGAAAGCTCTGGTGATTGGCTAAAACAATATGTCAATCACTTTCTGGAAGATCCAATGACTGAAGAGATTTCCTGTAAACAAACTGATGACGCGTGCGTAAAGCCAGGAAGTACGTGGGTGCGTTAGCTTCTTCAGCGGCTTGTCCCAGCTAAACCCCGGCACCGACAACAGCGGGGAGGGTCTCATTTTGAAGCTAAGAGTGTGAGGAAAACAAGCGTACCCAAGAGCGCCAAGAGAAACGGAACTCAGAGAGGGAGAAGGCAACATATTTTCATTCACGCATTCATCCATTCATACGGACGAGGATTTTCTGGATTATTTACCCACATGGAATTATTTTATGGAAAAAACAACTTGATATTCTTTTTCTGTGGATTATTACGGATTTATTGAGTACAACTTTTCATGGATTGAACGCGTTTTGGACCGACAGAACCGGCTCAAAGCTAAGAAACGCGTATCTTATTCTTTGATTATGATGTGAATTTTTAAGTTGTAGCGTTTTGGGCTCGTTGTACTGCATAAAATTAATGATATGGTGGTTTTATTGATAAATTAAGCTTTCAAACGATGTATGGCATGCCAGTAGTGAAAACAATAATGAAGGTGAAAATGCAGTGTGAATATTTTTTATTGGAAAATCGCCCGTCGGCGGGCGGGTGGATGGTAATTGGTTTTAAAGTTCTGAAATAATAATATAAAACAATCCTTTGTATAGTTTCATTATAGAGTCATTTAGGTCAGAACCAGAGTCTGAGGAAAGACTCATTCACCCTCAGCTTGTGTCTCCTCCTTGTGTCTCCTCTGTGGGCGGGACTTACTCATCCATTTCCTGCAGAATCAAGAAGGAAGTGAGGAAAGAGAAAAGAGACCCGTCCTCTGAGTTTGTGTTCAAGTCACATGATCACAACAAGTGTCCTATTGGTTCAGAGTGATGATATCACACATGTGTGCGTCCTATTGGTTCAGAGTGATGATGTCACACATGTGTGCGTCCTATTGGTTCAGAGTGATGATGTCACACATGTGTGCGTCCTATTGGTTCAGAGTGATGTCACATGTGTGTCCACAGACTCGGTGCGGTTTGTCTCGGGGTCCGGTCTGTGTTCAGGATCAGTGCAGATCTGGGACGGGTCCTGGACCGGGGTCTGTGACGGGGACTTGGACCATCGGGGGGCAGGGGTGCTGTGCAGGGAGCTGGGCTGTGGGGCTCCTTCTCTCCTCCAGGGGGCGCTCTCTCCTCTGGGGCAGACGTTCCACTGTGAGGGACATGAGTCTGCTCTGATGGACTGTCCCCGCTCCAACTCAAGGACCTGCTCCTCTGGAGCCACTGTCAACCTCACCTGTTCAGGTAAAGGGGCGGGGCTTCACTGCTCAGGTAAAGGGGCGGGGCTTCACTCTGTCTCTTGTCTGTTCAGAGCCGCTCAGGTTGGTGGGAGGAGCCAGTCGCTGTGCTGGGACTGTGGAGCTGAAACACAGAGGAGAGTGGAGACGAGTGGAGTCCTTTGGACGCTGGGACCAGGAGGCCACAGTTGGTGTGTGCAGAGACCTGGACTGTGGCTCTGCTGTTTATGGAGAACACAGAGATGATTTTCCACAGAGTCGTGTGTGGATGGTCTCACCTGACTGTGTGAAGAAGTTTTCAGTGAGAGAATGTGTCTCTGATTCATCTTCTTCCTCTTCCTGGGGTCTGGATGTGAAGTGTTCAGGTAAAAGTGTTTTTGTAAATGTTCAGGTTGAATGTGTCCAAATAGAAGAAAGGAAACATGTGTGACATGGTTAAATGTGTGAAAAGTCCCTTTTGCAGCAGAGCTCTGCTTTAATAGTTGAATCTTGTAGCTTGTGTGCAGCAGTGACAGTGACAGACTGTCTCATGTTCTCTTTGCTGATTCTCTGGAGATGGAGTAAACCTGTGTGCTTGTGATGGAGGATGCTGGGAGTGTGTGTGTGTTTGATTCTTGTTGTAAATGGATTCTACATAAAAGATCCGTTTAGACAAAGTTGTGTCTCTGATGACGTCATAGATGAGAAAATAAAGCTGCTTTTGTCTTAAATGTGTTTCATTTGTAAAGTGGAAGTGTCAGTGCGTTTACATGTGCAGCAGGATCCCGGTTATGACACAGTTCTGGACAGAGTGTTTCCATGAGCTCAGAGAAACCAGGATACTCATGTCCCTGTGCACATGCACCATCAGAGGAGACGGGACATTTACACTGGTCGCTATGGCAACTATGGCACAGATATGACAAAAGATAAACATGGAGCATCTTTGATCATTTAAGACTTTTCAACTGATTTATAACAACAAAAAACACTTACACACATTCAACTAACAACACACACACAGATACACACACACACACACACACACACACACACAGAGGTACTCGAGTACATGTGAACACACTCAGTGGATTTGAACCCAAACCCGTCTCACTATGAATTGAACGCTCTTGTGTGTGTGACGTCTTTCCTGACAGAGACACTGTGGAGTTGCTCTTTATGTTGGTTGGAGTTGGGTTTAGTCCTGAGTTCGCTCCTTGTTCTGATGCGTTTGAAGTTTCCTGGAGATGTGTGTGCAGTCGTGATGGTAAAATGAGAGACGTGACGCACACAGTCGCACATATGAAGTGAGCACTTGTCACTGTCTCACAAAATGGTCACGCTGACAACATAAGACTTACCCGTCCCTTTCACGGAAATGAAAAATGGGATTACAAACAGACAACCCGTCCCTTCATTTGTCAACCAAATAATTCATGATTATTAATGGGGGACTAGACTTGTGTGGCTGTACTTTCACTTGCCCACTCGGGCTACTACACAGAGGAGACCACTTGCCCAAACTAAACTTGTAGTTGCCCGAGGCCAAAAGACGACGGTTAATGTGGAGCCCAGTCTCTCCTCTTATTCTCTCTGCTCCTTGTGTCTCCTCTGTGGGCGGGACTTACTCATCCATTTCCTGCAGAATCAAAGAGAGAAATCAAGAAGAAGGAAGTGAGGAAAGAGAAAAGAGACACGTCCTCTGAGTTTGTGTTCAAGCCACATGATCACAACAAGTGTCCTATTGGTTCAGAGTGATGATGTCACACATGTGTGCGTCTATTGGTTCAGAGTGATGATGTCACACATGTGTGCGTCCTATTGGTTCAGAGTAATGATGTCACACATGTGTGCGTCCTATTGGTTCAGAGTGATGATGTCACACATGTGTGCGTCCTATTGGTTCAGAGTGATGTCACATGTGTGTCCACAGACTCGGTGCGGTTGGTCTCGGGGTCCGGTCTGTGTTCAGGATCAGTGCAGATCTGGGACGGGTCCTGGACCGGGGTCTGTGACGGGGACTTGGACCAGCGGGGGGCAGAGGTGCTGTGCAGGGAGCTGGGCTGTGGGGCTCCTTCTCTCCTCCAGGGGGCGCTCTCTCCTCTGGGGCAGACGTTCCACTGTGAGGGACATGAGTCTGCTCTGATGGACTGTCCCCGATCCAACTTAAGGACCTGCTCCACTGGAGCCACTGTCAACCTCACCTGCTCAGGTAAAGGGGCGGGGCTTCTCTGCTCAGGTAAAGGGGCGGGGCTTCACTGCTCAGGTAAAGGGGCGGGGCTTCACTGCTCAGGTAAAGGGGCGGGGCTTCACTCTGTCTCTTGTCTGTTCAGAGCCGCTCAGGTTGGTGGGAGGAGCCAGTCGCTGTGCTGGGACTGTGGAGGTGAGAGTCAGAGGAGAGTGGAGACGAGTGGAGTCCTTTGGACGCTGGAACCAGGAGGCCACAGTTGGTGTGTGCAGAGACCTGGACTGTGGCTCTGCTGATTATGGAGAAAAGAGAGATGATTTTCCACAGAGTCGTGTGTGGAGGGTCTCACCTGACTGTGTGAAGAAGTTTTCAGTGAGAAACTGTGTCTCTGATTCATCATCTTCTTCTTCCTCGGGTCTGGAGGTGAAGTGTTCAGGTAAAAGTGTTTTTGTAAATGTTCAGGTTGAATGTATCCAAATAGAAGAAAGGAAACATGTGTGACATGGTTAAATGTGTGAAAAGTCCCTTTTGCAGCAGAGCTCTGCTTTAATAGTTGAATCTTGTAGATTGTTTGCAGCAGTGACAGTGACAGACTGTCTCATGTTCTCTTTGCTGATTCTCTGGAGATGGAGTAAACCTGTGTGCTTGTGATGGAGGATGCTGAGAGTGTGTGTGTGTTTGATTCTTATTGTAAATGGATTCTACATAAAAGATCTGTTTAGACAAAGTTGTGTCTCTGATTTGAACCCAAACCGCTCTCACTTTGAATCCAATGCTCCTGAGTCTGTGAGTCTCCTGGTTACAGAATCAGAGACTTTGTGATTTAACACAGTGAGTTTTCCAAATGTAATTTGCCTTTGATCAGTTTCCATGAAAACTTTCTTAACTTTTGTTGCTTTACTTATTCACCATGAAAAGGTGTTTCTTTGTAAGAAAACAAATTATCTTCCTCAAATAAAAATATAATAAATAATGCAAACATGCTCACCTAGGAACTCACACTCACAGATTTTGGACTTGTCCAAAAGATCGGTCTGTTCTGGAGTGATGTTTTTGCAGCTCTCAGTACAGTATTTCAGCGATCATTTGTTAAAGAACCACAGCTCGCCATTTTAGGGTTAATCCCAGAAGGTTTTGGAGGAAATGATAAAAAATATCGCTTAAGAATTTTACTGACTGCTGCACTTACATGTATAACTATTAAATGGTTGTGCCCTGACCCGCCCACTTATCATACATAGATTGAAAAGGTGAGAGAGATTTATCGATGAAGCAAATCACTTCTTCTTTCAGACTTAACAGAGAGTTCTTCATTAAGAGATGGAGTCCCATGTTTGCTCTTTTATTCCAACAAGCTTAGCACGTCTTATTTTTATTTATTAGGCCCGAGCGCCAGAGGCCGGCGAAGGGCCTATTAGTATCGCAGAGCGATGCTCCAAGTGGCCAAAAAATGGAATGGTGTGACGTGACTCGCCTGTAGTGACCAGGGACCCTCGCCATCACGTAGCAATGTGCCTGAGGTTTCCGAAAATGGATAGTTTGTCGGCCAAAAAAAAGCGGAACATTGTTCTCGTATCGGTTGGTTATTCTCCTAACCAACTCACCCATTTTTCACCCACTGAACAATGACGAAAAGTCCTGAAATTGTTCCATCTGGTAAAACTCGCGCTTCCCTACGTTTTGGCTATTTCCATTTTCCAAACAGAAATAAAATGTCTCGTCAGCGCCACCAAACGACTCAAAAATGCATTAGGGAATACGAATGACACAAAAAAAATTGCACGTACAATCATGAAATTTGACACAGAAGTCGATCATGTCAACACAAGGAAAAAATATTATTACGCCAACACCGTGTGCTCCACTAGGGGGCAGCAATATTGGCTGAAAGTTTGCTAAGCTTTTACGAACTCCTCCGAGGGCGTTCACCCGAACGAGCTCAAATTTGGTCCACATTATCTCAAGACGTGAAACATCAAAACTTATCCAAATTTTTCACACACGTCTTACGATCTCTGAACAGTGAAGCAACAAATAATGCACACAATTTTGGAGATTTGCAAATTGCTCCCATTTGCTCAAATGAACTCTGATTTCAATAAAATTTGAAACAGTTGTTAAAATCTCTGCCCTGAAGCTACTTAATGTGAAAATTATTAATTTGATGCATTAGCGCCCCCTATAGATTGAAACAAAATTTAATATGGAAGAAAATAATTTGTTCCCAAATGGTTGTTCAAAAGTTTCTGAAATTTTACACAAAATTCCATTTTGGCATCCTGATCCAAAAGTCAGTGACACCCATGTCATATGTTTTATGGCGTTGCCATAGCGATGACATAAACTCTCCATTGGTAAAATCTACAAATTCTGGCACAAACTTTGGCCGATTTCACTCAAATTTTAATCGTTGATTGACACCCCGACCCTGAACACATTTATATAAGAAAATCTCAGATGGGCGCTATAGCGCCCCCTAGGGAAATTGCATGGTAGTGCAAACATTAACTTCGCTGTAGATATATAAAATTTGGTAGACAGATTCATGACATGGTCTTGATCAAAAAAGTCAATGACGACCCCATGCCATTTCCCATCGTGTTGCCATGGTGACAGGCTAAACATCTGCCCTCGCCAATAGGCCCGACAAAAACTTTGGCGTAGCCAAACCAAATTTGGTACACAGATGCATCATGGGAATAGGAGCAAAAAAGTATATTATGCGGTTGCTAGGCAACCAACAGGAAGGCGGCCATATTGGATTGATGGTGCGACCTGTCCTCGTACTTGAACGAACTCGTCCTTGGGCGTTTGACCCAGACAGAATCATTCTGTATCATCTAGACAAGTGGGACATTAAAAGTTGTTAAAAGCTTTTTAAAAGGTCACACGGTGTTGCTGTGGCAACGGTGCAAATTTCAGGTTTGTTTTTGGGTCTCACCATCAAACTTTGACGACTGATAATTTGCACAAACTTTGGCCAATTTCACTCAGACTTTAATCGTGGGTTCACACCCCGACTCTGAACAAACTGATGTAAGAAAATACAAAAATGGCTGCAATAGCGCCCCCTAGAAAATGTTTATGTAAAAATAAGGTTTTATTTGTCACAGATATACAACATTTGGCACCCACATTTGTGACACGGTCTCGATTAAAAAACGCAATGATGCTCACATCCCATTTACATTGTGTTGCCATGGCAACAAGCCAAAATTGTATCCTTGCCATTGGGACGTCCTTACACAAATGTTGGCGTAGCCAAACCAAATTTGGTATCCACATGCATCATGGCAATAAGAACAAAAACGTATATTGTGACCGCGCCCCTTTACAAACCGGAAGTCCTCCATCTTGGATATTTTCTTTTGCCAAATTTTGAAAATTGCAAAGTTAGATTAAGATTTATAGGTTTAGGGTTGGGGCTATGGTTAGGATTACAATTAGGGTAAGGTTTAAGCTTAGGCTTATTAGGGTCAGTGTGATGTGCGGCGTTTGCGGGGATCGGTGTTTGCGGGGAGCGGTGTTTGCGGGGCGCGGCGTAAGCACGCGCGAGGGTCGATCATTGCCGCTTGTTGCTATATTTATTATTAATAATAATAATAATAAAAATAATAATAATAATAATATTATTATTATCATCGTAAATGTATAACTGCCTTTGTCATTGTTATTGTTTTTGTTCTTTTCTATATGCTAATACTAATTTTAACATATATGTAACCGGCTTTGTAACTGACCATTATGCACAAGCTGTGATGTCTTAAACTTAATAAAAAGTAAGTAAAAAATAAATAAATAAATAAAGACACAAAGAAGCCGAAACGTGTCTTTGCCTGATTCAAGCATGTCCGAAGAACAAGATAATCTAACAAACGCAACAACCACAAATAATCTCCAACTGTTTCCCTTAGAACAAACAAATAGTGTTTAAGGTCGTTTTCACACCGCTAGTTCGATTATTTGGTCCGCACCAGGCAATAAAATTGTTATTATGTAGCAAATACACTCCAGTGTGGTCCGCGTTCACACCGGCAAACGAACCAAAACTGGTTCGATTGACGTGTCTCTGTTTCCTGGTAAAACAGCGATACTCCAGTTATCAACACCGATGTTCCTGTTAATACCACGGGCCGTCCTCATCTCAAATTATCACCATGAACTCATAAAACAGCAACATGTAGAACTTTGTACAAACTCACTGCATCAGCCCAGAGTTCGGGTAACAGCAGCAGCCAACAGCGCTCAAAGTAGCGCGCAGCTCCTCAGGACGGGGCTGGGGTCTGGTCCTTGGTCTTCTGTTACAAGTTCGTTGGTCAGATGGTCCGGAGGCTCCATCCTCCATGTGCTGGTTCCAAACGGTGGCGAGCAAGACCAGTGCTTGATGGACTGAGTCCGAGCGGGTACGTTCCGTCGTCTGCGCGCTGTTTCCGTGCGGGAAAAGCAAGAATGTGCTGTGGACTACAGGTCCGGGCGCGCTGCTCCGGTTCTCCGCGCTCAAGAACCACGGCTGGTTCCGAGGTGGTGCAGCATCCGGACAGAAGCGTGAGTCCAGTTTGGTTTGTTATATGTTGTTCTGAGCGTCCGTCCTCTGCGCATTTGGTTCTTCCCGGGGAAAGCGCTTCCTCAGGTCGAGGCTCCCTGCTCCAGCTCCTCTGAGCCCGGCCTGAACTGGAGCAGCCCCCGCTGGTTCGGGACTCTGGTTTGGATCTAGTCCGACTGTATTTCTCACACTAGGCTAAAAACAGGGACTTTTTTAAGTTGTATCAATTGAATGGGCGATTGCCTATTGCCATGAAATTATTTGGTTAACTAAAGCCTAAAATAACAAATGTTGGTTGCTGTGTGATCACGGGGGAACACCGGGTCGTCTCTGTGCGTGTAGGTCCCGAACAGGGGGACGCACCCCCAATTTTGACTCACTCTGGAGCCACACGTTCGCACACTGATACTTGTTCTGATCTTCGTGTATTACATTCTCTGTATTGGCCATTGTTGGTAAAATAATTCGAAAATGAATCGCGGCTGCGTCTGGACAACAATCTGTTACTGCGCTGGAGTCGTGCAGCGCGTCATTTCAGGCAGAGGAGACGCGTGTCCCTCCCATGATGCATTTCGAATAGTCCGTTTGTCCATACTGTCTACGGTTTGGACCCGGGTTCGCGTTCACACCAGAGGAACCGCACCAAAGTTGGTCATTTGGTGCGGATTCAAGCGAACCGAGACCACCTCTTTTTTGCGGTCTCGGTCCGCTTGATTTGGTTCGGGTCCGAGTCCGATTGACGCTTTCACACCAACGCAAACGAACCGAACTAACCACTTTTGGTTCGAATGGACCGTTTGGTGCGCACCAAATACTGTCGGTGTGAAAACACCCTAAGTCTCTTAAAGGGAATTAAATCTTTCTGCAGGTGGAAAAGTCCCTAAACTCCACCAAAAATGACCCACGAGACTCATTTTCAAAAATTCCATTTGAAATGAAGGAAGTTAATTGCTGATGTTTTTATGACTTTAAACTCATCAGAATCTGACAAAGTTTCTCTGGTAAAAAACTGATCCACATCTAACTGTGTCACATGAGGAACCGAGGTCCAAAGAAGAGGCCAAAAAGATCAAACCTGGACTGAGACTCTCCACCGTCCACATGAAAACTCAGAACAGTGTGAGATTTGTGTCAGAAATGTTCATTCTCTCAAATATTCAGGTTCAGTTAGTTTGTAAAGATCTGCTTGGAGTAAATAGATCTTGGACCTCAAAAACTGAAAAAAAATAAATTGAGCAGCAACCAAATGTGAGATTTTGGGGCCCACAGCCAAACCCTTAATAAAGACACACAATATTAATACAACGGATTCAAAATCTATGACCAAGAATCTAAAAGTACAAATTCTCAGCTTCCTGTCTGAGAATTTGTACTTTTAGATTAGATTAAAAATTCTTTTGTCGGAGAAATACGACTTAACGTGTTGTAAGATGTGCGTGTTTGAGCATGTGGTTTAGCTTTTGACGAATTATTGAAATTATACATATGTGGGGCACCAGATTCTGACCGAATCGAACTTAGCCATATGCGACAACAACTTATCAATTGAATCAATCTGAAGGGAACGTACCCGAAAAAGTGACCTGATGATAACTTTATGAAAAATCACTGAAACCAGCAAATTCCTTTGTGTGGTTTATTAACAAACAATAACTAGACACCAACTTCCAAGTTCTGGTTACGTAACAATAAAGCACCGATTTTAACAACCTGAGGTAGTTATAAAAACGGGGTTCAGTTTAGCTCAGTTATGGCGTTTCGCTAAGTCGCTACTGCGCTTGCCTTAGGAATAATTGGACGCAATCGTAAGAGGGATGCCAACCCTTATTCATTCACTGTTCAGAACCAGCCTTACTTGGCGATGTTGTTCTCGGTCCGTGTGGAATGCGGCGATGGCTGGGTTCGGTGGTGGTCGCACGCATGGGCAGGCAGCGGCGTGATGATGGTACTCGGGTAGGGCGGTCCACGCCTCCTTCACCGGCTCTGGTCCTCAGCTCTCGGCAGGTGCGACTCCAGGTCTGTTACAGCTCCCCCTGGGTCTCTCCGACCCGTCTTCCCTGGTCCTCTTCGGCGGGTCCTCGCGGCGGCGAGGCAAGGCGAAAAGCGAAGAAAAGCGAAGCAAAGTGAAAGTGAAGTTTTGGCGCGTGAGGCTTCGTTTTGGTCAGTGCGCTTGGTGGGCGTTGTTATATGCAAATTTAAGGCACGCCCGCGTCTGAGCTGAACTGGTCCCCGTACAAATATCTTTTGTAAATATTAATTTGGTAACTTCCCACATTCAGGTACTTCATAACTGTTTACGATAACATTAGCCGACGATTCATACAGAGAAATCAAAGGTATATCTGTCCGAAAACACGCCGTGAAGTTACCGCAAATACCTCCATGGGAACATGACATGAAATATGCATAAGAGACCATGAACACATGAATTAAGCAATGTGGCATACTTATCTTGCATCAACATGAGCCTTATATAGAACACAGTTTAATCCAGTCCTTCTTTAGTCCAAAGGGTGGCAACCGCGGTCCATCGCGGTTTTAACCGGTCCAAGCATTGGCACCTGATGGTCTGGTATGTAGATGATGTGGGTCTGTTTCTTCAAAGCAAAATGAGGAATGTCATTATTTAACAGTCCTTATGACTTTAGCAGAGCCATGTTAATTTCCCATTCTGATTCATGTCCCACTTTGCGTGGGGGAAGAGAGGTGTGAAAGCACAGAAGATCGGTTCTCTTGGGGTTGTAAATACCAAGAGGCAGTTAGACAGAACCGACTTCTCTGGGTTCCTGGTTTGTGGATTCTGTCAGAATGGGGGAGCAGGCCCTGAACACGCACCTTTCCCTACAGTTTCATTTGGTAATTTTAGAAATTTTTAGAAATATTTTCTGCCAAATCTGAGATGGTTCATGGGGAGATTCATTGAAAACAGCTGATTTCATACAGACTGATCCAAAAACATCTTTCCTCTTGATAAAATTCACCAAACATTCTCTTTGTTCCGGCTTTAAATCCTTGATTTGGGAACACAGAATGTCTGATTGGCTGGTGTCTGGACTCACACTTCCGGAGTTTTTGCAAATCGTCTAGTGTTTTCTGACTCCTGACCTAGAGCTGGAGAGAAATGAACGGAGCGGAGGCACTAGGGGGCGCCAGACTGGACACATTATAGGATTATTTAGATCAGAACCAGCACCTCAGGAAAGACCCATTCACCCTCAGCTCATGTCTCCTCCTTGTGTCTCCTCTTTGGGCGGGACTTACAGTACTCATCCTCATCATGAACACAGCAAGTGTCCTATTGGTTCAGAGTAATGATGTCACACATGTGTGCGTCCTATTGGTTCAGAGTGATGATGTCACACATGTGTGCGTCCTATTGGTTCAGAGTGATGATGTCACATGTGTGCGTCCTATTGGTTCAGAGTGATGATGTCACACATGTGTGCGTCCTATTGGTTCAGAGTGATGATGTCACATGTGTGTCCACAGACTCGGTGCGGTTGGTCTCGGGGTCCGGTCTGTGTTCAGGATCAGTGCAGATCTGGGACGGGTCCTGGACCGGGGTCTGTGACGGGGACTTGGACCAGCGGGGGGCAGAGGTGCTGTGCAGGGAGCTGGCCTGTGGGGCTCCTTCTCTCCTCCAGGGGGCGCTCTCTCCTCTGGGACAGACGTTCCACTGTGAGGGCCATGAGTCTGCTCTGATGGACTGTCCCCGCTCCAACTCAAGCACCTGCTCCTCTGGAGCCACTGTCAACCTCACCTGTTCAGGTAAAGGGGCGGGGCTTCTCTGCTCAGGTAAAGGGGCGGAGCTTCACTGCTCAGGTAAAGGGGCGGGGCTTCACTGCTCAGGTAAAGGGGCGGGGCTTCACTCTGTCTCTTGTCTGTTCAGAGCTCAGGTTGGTGGGAGGAGCCAGTCGCTGTGCTGGGACTGTGGAGCTGAAACACAGAGGAGAGTGGAGACGAGTGGAGTCCTTTGGACGCTGGAACCAGGAGGCCACAGTTGGTGTGTGCAGAGACCTGGACTGTGGCTCTGCTGTTTATGGAAAACAGAGAAATGATTTTCCACAGAGTCGTGTGTGGAGGGTCTCACCTGACTGTGTGAACGGAGTTTTCAGTGAGAGAACTGTGTCTCTGATTCATCTTCTTCTTCTTCCTGGGGTCTGGATGTGAAGTGTTCAGGTAAAAGTGTTTTTGTAAATGTTCAGGTTGAATGTGTCCAAATAGAAGAAAGGAAACATGTGTGACATGGTTAAATGTGTGAAAAGTCCCTTTTGCAGCAGAGCTCTGCTTTAATAGTTGAATCTTGTAGCTTGTGTGCAGCAGTGACAGTGACAGACTGTCTCATGTTCTCTTTGCTGATTCTCTGGAGATGGAGTAAACCTGTGTGCTTGTGATGGAGGATGCTGGGAGTGTGTGTGTGTTTGATTCTTGTTGTAAATGGATTCTACATAAAAGATCCGTTTAGACAAAGTTGTGTCTCTGATGACGTCATAGATGAGAAAATAAAGCTGCTTTTGTCTTAAATGTGTTTCATTTGTAAAGTGGAAGTGTCAGTGCGTTTACATGTGCAGCAGGATCCCGGTTATGACACAGTTCTGGACAGAGTGTTTCCATGAGCTCAGAGAAACCAGGATACTCATGTCCCTGTGCACATGCACCATCAGAGGAGACGGGACATTTACACTGGTCGCTATGGCAACTATGGCACAGATATGACAAAAGATAAACATGGAGCATCTTTGATCATTTAAGACTTTTCAACTGATTTATAACAACAAAAAACACTTACACACATTCAACTAACAACACACACACAGATACACACACACACACACACACACACAGAGGTACTCGAGTACATGTGAACACACTCAGTGGATTTGAACCCAAACCCGTCTCACTATGAATTGAACGTTCTTGTGTGTGTGACGTCTTTCCTGACAGAGACACTGTGGAGTTGCTCTTTATGTTGGTTGGAGTTGGGTTTAGTCCTGAGTTCGCTCCTTGTTCTGATGCGTTTGAAGTTTCCTGGAGATGTGTGTGCAGTCGTGATGGTAAAATGAGAGACGTGACGCACACAGTCGCACACATGAAGTGAGCACTTGTCACTGTCTCACAAAATGGTCACGGTGACAACATAAGACTTACCCGTCCCTTTCACGGAAATGAAAAATGGGATTACAGACAACCCGTCCCTTCATTTTTCAACCAAATAATTCATGATTATTAATGGGGGACTAGACTTGTGTGGCTGTACTTTCACTTGCCCACTCGGGCTACTACACAGAGGAGACCACTTGCCCAAACTAAACTTGTAGTTGCCCGAGGCCAAAAGACAACGGTTAATGTGGAGCCCAGTCTCTCCTCTTATTCTCTCTGCTCCTTGTGTCTCCTCTGTGGGCGGGACTTACTCATCCATTTCCTGCAGAATCAAAGAGAGAAATCAAGAAGAAGGAAGTGAGGAAAGAGAAAAGAGACACGTCCTCTGAGTTTTGTGTTCAAGCCACATGATCACAACAAGTGTGTCCTATTGGTTCAGAGTGATGATGTCACACATGTGT